CTAAAATAATTGGGGTTGAAAATTTGTTTCAAGTGAACAGCATGGAGTGATCTCATCCCCAATTAAAACAAAAACACAAAACCGTATTTAATAAGCCTTTTGTCAATAGCAAATGTTTATTTCCAGATGTTGATTCAAATAGGCTCCAATGAGTGAGCCTCAGTAACAGGGAAGGCGGAGGCAAAGATGCCTCTTGGACCGCACAAGCAAACACTCGTAAAACTGTGCATGAACTTGTGTGATACAATCAATCTCACACTCTCAGCTTGGACACATGAGGGTCACAGCAGTGCACGAAAAAGATATAGGAGATTCAGGGATGCAATATATTTATAAAAGAAATGGGGGGGAAAAAAAAGTCCCGCAAGTCTCTGCTGAGACCAGAGATTTCAAACGTCTTTCCTTCCCGTGACGTTAATTTGCCTCATTCTTTGAAGCCTCATCGAAATTCTCCACAAGGTCTGCAAAGAGAGAAAACAAGGATTCAGTAAAACAATACCAGGTTTACATGCAGTCACTGACAACTCAAAAGGGATTAAAAACTGAACACTTGTGGAAAACCGGATTTATGAAGAAACACTGGACATCCAATAAATGTGGAGAGTGAAAAACTAAATCTCATCTTTATGAAACAATCTGTAAATGTTTATAGAAACATGATCTGAAAGGTAATTTCTGTGCTTCTCTCTCACTTCTGTAAGTAATTTCCATAGAGAACATAAACGAGCACTGGGGGACTGAAAAGTCCACAGCTGTAAAAATGAAACCATTGAGGATCAAAAGCAGGTTGCCTTTTACGAGATGAAATCTGATCAAACGGAACATCAACTTTTCTGCCTCAGGACATCAGAATGGAAATCACTAACAGAAGGCTGGACTTTGTTTTGAGAGGGGACAGAAAAGGTTGAATCTCAATAATGGGCACAATAGCACAAGCTGTTAACCCTTTTTGTCATCACACGGGTGAGCTAATTTTGCAGTGTCAGAGATGTAATCATACTGTACATGTGCAAGACTTGGGTTACTAACTGGAGTTTGCTCAGGGAGGAGAACTGGGGAATTGTAATAGCAACCGTATGTGTTCGACCCCCTCTCTTTAAAAAGAAAAGCAAACCGAACCTTCAGTGCTCAAACAATAGAGGCGATTTTAAACACTTGTATATGATGACAATGTAAGAGCCAAGACAACCTGCTGAGACCCTCCTTTTTTGGACATTTCCACACCACAAGCTGAGACGCTGCCCTAACGTAAGCAAGTGTGCTTTGCTTACATTACCACACGCACAGAAACCCATATGGTAATAATTGTGAAGCTCAAGCTAGGAGACATATAAAATACACCAGGAATAATAGAAAATGTAAGCAAATAATCTTATGGTTAATGCTACAACTTAAAATACGAGAAGATGATTTTTTAAAAATGGAAATTGGGGGGAAAAGTTTCAGAGCAACATACTGACCTGGAACTTCGTCGTCATCTTCCTCTCCACCAGCTACTGGTGCCTTTCCATCACCAGCTGCAAGAAAATGGAGAATTTAAAATAACATAAAAAAAAATAAAAAAAAGATCACCATTTGTTAGTTGCAGATTCTAGAGCATTTACAAAAAATAAACTACAATGACAACACTGTCAAGAAACTAGACTACAAATTATAATTTTCATAATGACAGGGCTAAACATGCCTATATTATGGGATTCATCAGCTCAGATTAATCATAAGCCCTAAAAGAGCAAGAAATAGCACTCCTAACAATTACCAGGATTAAAAAGCCTTCAGAAGTACATTAACCAAAATTAGGGGGAAAATCCACTGGGTCAAACAAAAAAAATCATCCACTTTCAACTACAGTAGATTTTGCATGTAAAATAAGTAGTTCATGTTTGCTTTGGACTAAGGTTACACAAACTGGGGTTTGTAACTTGAGGAAAAACGAATAATTAAAATATAATATAAAATTAAAATGGCAACAAAAAAATCTTACTACAATCAATGAACCATTTTGTTTGCACGCATGTGATGTGGCCATTAACTAACATCAAAGAACTGACAACATGTGAACGTGGTGTTGGTCTTTCTTTAGACCAATATTTCCCGAACTGGGGTTTGTTAGTCAGGGACGTGCAGAGAGTTCCTCAGGGGCAGGGGCTCAAATGTAAAATAGGGGCAATGTTTTAAAAAATAAAAAAATTAAAAATTAGGTCAAATGTTTGGATACATTACCATTTTATATTTTAGCAAGAAGTCACTTATGGTCCTCAAGCCTGCATTTATTTGATACAAATTTTAATATACTTTAAAATACATTCTATGCAATGCTGATTTATTATCAATGTTGGAAACATGTGATACTTTTTTCAGGATTCTTTGTTGAATAAAAAGTTAAAAGAACAGCATTTATTTAAAACATAACTTTTGTAATATGCACTACCATTCAAAAGCTTGAGGTCTGTTTTTTCTTTTTTTTGAAAGAAATTAATATAAAATTAAAATGGCAACAAAAAAATCTTACTACAATCAATGAACCATTTTGTTTGCACGCATGTGATGTGGCCATTAACTAACATCAAAGGATTTGTTAAATTGATAGAAACAGTGATAGTAAAGATTGATATTGATTGAAAACATCTCTATTTTGAATAAATGACGTTCTTTAACTTTTTATCAATGAACTCCAGAAAAGTATCACAGGTACAAAAAATAAAAAAAATAAAAAAATAAATAATAATAATAATAATAATAATAATAATAGGCAGCACAACGGTTTCCAACATTGATTATAAATCAGCATATTAAATGCTGAATAAATGATTTCTGAAGGATTATGCACTGAAGACTGGAGTATGCAGAAAATTCAGCGTTGCATCACAGAAATAAGTGATATTTTAAAGTATATTAAAATAGAAAAACATTCTTTTAAATTGTAATAATATTTCGCAATTACGTTTCTGTATTTTTGACCAAATAAATGCAGGCTTGATGAGCGTAAGACACTTTCCATAACGCTGCATAATTATCAAAAATTGAAATATAATAAAGTCCTTTCACGTCACCATTTCGCCAGCCTACACTTCACATAATACGCCTGTAAATGGCACTTGGGCTTCATTAACCATGAAATAGCAACCGCTGTATCATACATAAATATAAGTGAATTGACTACTGATTACCATTATTGCGACTTTTGGCACTGCACGGTTTAGTGCAGTGTTTTTGTAGTCATTTAGCATCCTTTTTTTCAGCGATGTAATTTGATTTATAAAATGAGACAAACCTCAGATTCAGATCACTCCACAAATAAGCTCGTCTGCCCCATGTAATTTTCAACCAATTTATAAATAAGAACGGAAAATGACCACTCTACTTCACATTATTGTCCAATGAAATTTGAACTTGTGCCAGATCATGATTGGTTGGTATATTATACATGACATGACTGCTCCGGGTGTGTGTTCACGGTGTGTGTGTGTTCACTGCTGTGTGTGTGCACTTTGGATGGGATAAATGCAGAGCACTAATTCAGAGTATGGGTCACCATACTTGGCCACATGTCATGTCACGTCACGAACGGGCATGAGGAATTGTGTATTATTCTAAAATATATAATACATGGATTTTTTTTAATTAAATCGACACACTAGCTTTGATTATTGATAAAAAAAAGTTTAAAATATTGATTGGTTTATTTCCTTCCGTCAACCCACTCACTGAAAGAACCATACAGGTGCATCTCAATAACTTAGAATGTCGTGGAAAAGTTCATTTATTTCAGTAATTCAACTCAAATTGTGAAACTCGTGTATTAAATAAATTCAATGCACACAGACTGAAGTAGTTTAGGTGTTTGATTCTTTTAATTGTGATGATTTTGGCTCACATTTAACAAAAAGAGAGTCTAGGTTTCCGAACAGACTGTGGAAAATCAGTCAGTCAAGCAAAATGCACACAACCCATAGAAATGCCTCAGATTGACAGATATGTAAAAATAAACAGGAATTTTCTGACTTTTGAGCAATTAGTTACTGTTTTGTACTAGGGCTGCACGCTAAATCGCATGCGATTTATAATTTAATAATTTAATTTTGAAAAAGGGCAGCTGCTAGAGCCCCCAAAGCCCCCCCTTCTGCACGTGCCTGTTGTTAGTTAATAGAAACTAATATACATATTTAAGTAAACAAAAAAAAACACAAAGACACAATGTGTTTACTTGCAATAACTAACATGTGAATGTGGTGTTATACGTTTTGAAATAAGAAAAAAATATTTTAGGTAAAAGGGGTTTGGCTGACAAAAAAAGCTTATGAATTCCTCCTTTGCACTCTCAATCTCTGCCTAAACAACCAACTAATGCTGGCAGCCCTCTACGATCACCTTGTTTGTTTGTAAAATGGCACAGTTTTATAAATATCTGAAAGTACACTCTTAACATCAGTCAGTCAAGCATTATAATATGATAATCAATATTATTTAATGATAGAACTCTAGTAATTAGAATTAAAACTTGATAACCATGTATGAATGCATATTAGTCGTTTTAACTGAGCTTCGGACTGGTGGTGGTGCTTTTTTGGTTGGTCAGGGTTTCTGTAAAAAAAATTAAAAATTGGGGAAAAACTAACAAAAAATACTGATAAGATAACAATGATACGAATTCTACTAATAAGAACAATATAAAA